AACAGTAGTAGGTTGTTTCTTTAGTCGGGTTCACCAATGTAGGATTATGGTCTACTATGATATTAGTACTGCTCTAATACTAGACCTAATCCTAAAATTGCAGATTTGTCATGATATAACTGCCTAATCTATAAGATCTTACATGGAAGTCACATCGTGGTCTACACCAAATCACTGCATCTTAACGGTCACCAATGTATGGTGAAGAACACACTTAGATTAGAGATAGAACGTTATATATAATATGGATAAAAATAATGTTACATAAGACTACTCCTGCAAGGCCCAGTCATGCCATTCGATCAACTCGAATCAATTCAGTTCATTCTTCCCGCCCTGTTCATCGTTAGGTTTTTCTCCGTGTTAAATGATGAATGTCTACTTCCCATATTGTCTCACGTGAGGGTCAAATGCCACTACACATCAACCCAGTGGAATCAAAAGTCGGAAATGAAGATGGTCGAATATACATTTGGAAGGCTATCGATATGTTGAGAAGCGTTTGGTCCAAGCTGGTTGACAGTTGCAAGGGATGCGTGAACAAGTGCCTTCACCTTGGGTGTATCCAGTAAAACCAACGAGGTCACCATCAATATCGAAGACTTATAGAATTGGGAATTACTTTACCGCTACAGACTTTTTGTGGATGCTAAGGTTACTTTTGTGAACATGGTGTGGCGGTAAATAAATCGCCAAAATAAATAGCTCTGTAAGTTTTCGACATTGGATGCTGACCACATTAGTTTTAGTGGACTCACCTAGCTGAAGGCGCTCGTTCATGCATCCGCATCAGATAACGAGTGGGAACACCGTGCTCAACAGCCCCTGCAATCGCTAGACAGATTAGATCAGATGATCCTCGATATATTGATAGCTTATCAAATATATCTTCGAACCTCTTCGCTTCTGTCTTTTGATTTCACTTGGTGTGTAAGATTCATTTTAAGTGTTGCTGATTAAAGCACTGTCAAACTCCGAATACCTGTGGCATCTTCAATGGACTCCGAAAGCTTCAGCAATATGCGAAAGACAAACTCATATACCATGTGGTGAATCTGATGGGATGCAATGGACGCCCCACAAATTTTTTATTCAAGCCGAATTGGTGTTCACTCAATGGGCGAAAACAGAACTCTTAACTACTCTTACCTATCTTTTACTCAACCAAGACGGATGGAGTACCCCTATGAAATGAGGGACTTCCGAATTCACGCTCCATATAACTGGCTCCATAGAAGCAGTTGAACTGGTAAACACACATGAATGTGATGAAATTAGGTAGTCCGTCTTTACTGATGGGTCCGTTTAATGGCTGGTTGTAAAATGCCACATTTAGTTTGGATGCAGTAAATGTTTTCTTTACGGCCTCTTTTAATTTTTGAGCTACAAATTCTTCGGTGGTAGTACCTTTTTTTCAAAATGGTAGATGTATCCAGTCTTGTCTTGATCTAATTCGTGTGGTTGTTGCTGAATTTCGTAGGATTTCTACTCGTATTTAGCAAGTTACGAATATTAATAATTCGTCTATAATAGTGTCTTCACGGCAAATCATTCTAGCACAGTTAGTCAGGATCTTCGCTAAGTTTCTTTAATACCCGATTGGCACAACATTATAGGAATAAGCACGTTATCCAGCTGCAATTTTTTATGTACTCCTCTTTTCAAAAATCCACCTACCCTCCTGGCTAGTTTGACATTGTGAAACGATCTCCCGTTGCTCTATTCCTCATCAAGCATAAAAATAATAAATCATCATGACATCATGTAATTATTATGTGACGTCTAAACTCAATGAGTATTGCTAGTTACTTTGTATCATCAAATTAGTAGATCTGAAATAATGTAGTTTACTCGTCATGATGTGAATGCCTAGTAGGCACGATCTGATATAAAGTCACATCGACTCCTACCTTGATTGACAATATAGAAACCGTCGGATTGTACTACTTTATAAGTACCTCTGAGTAATAAGTACAACCCCACCAATGGAATATGCTTGTATTGAGGTTTATAATTATTTCGCTACCACGATAAATTCGCCCTGCAACCTATGTGTCTTCTAAACCACTAAGAGATGTCACAAAGCTCTGCAACTCCCAAAACGCTAAACTTGTTCCAAGGTTACTAATCTAAATCTTCCTACAAACGTTTATGCGAACTTGTCTCAAGACGGAGAAAATCTAAGGTGGTATTCGAGTGGCAACACGTAAAGAAATGTTGCATACACTAGTGTCACTAGCAGCAAAGCCGCACTACAAGGAAGCTTTTCAATCGGCACCTTCTAACGACAATCTCAGCCAGTGGTTAAGATAGCTGACAGTCCATCTTGAACTACGTTCGGCAACATTTATAGTTCAACCTTTAACCTTTCCAGACATTTAACCGAATAACCTATGAAACAACACTGATCCCTGGTTTAATATCAGCATCTCGTATCCTATACCAAAAACAAGATGATGTGCGTCCCCGGAAACAAACGGAAAATCAAAGTACAATTTGATAAAAACGATTCTCATGTTGTACTCCAGTTAAAACCTACTAAACTCATAACCGACGAGTAATTTCAGCTTAAAATATTTCTGTGATGGATGGTTATAACCAGTATTTATTCAAGAAATACAGATAAATAGAGAGAAAAACTTCTCTAGATCACTACCCAGCATCACTCATTGAAGGTTTAATAACCGCTTAATTATACAAGACCGTTTCATAGAAAATCAATGCAGTTAACAGTGCCAACCGAATCCCTACTGCCTATGGAAGTGTTCCAAGGATTCTAAAACTAACAAGTTCACACACACGACTTTTTGATCAACAGTACCTGCAACGTTTTGTCACAAGCTTTCCGAAGTTATAAATAAATGCTAAAAAAAGCATCAAATTCCGGTTTCGGATAGAGATCATATTCTTTGAGCACTTCTAAGGTTTACGTCTCTCACGTTCTTGCGAATTATAGAAGTAGATGATCACCTCTCAAGTACGACTGTCAAAACAAGTGTAGTTGTAGAAGCTAGTTTCCTCTATATCTGACTCAAATAAATATTCTGTTAACTGAGTATTTAAGGCTAGTTAAATCTCCTAGTAGAGTTATGGATTTACTCGAGATTATTCAGAAGCCTGAACACCAGTTGGAGAGATATTTTATTGTTAAAGATTAGTAAAATCCTCAAGCGTACAGCAAGCAAGCACACAGTGAAACAAAGTGAGTGTGTGTGAGAGAGTTAGAAATCCATATTTATTTATGAGTGTTAATGAAGTGTGGATAAACTATTGATTATCTATGTGTTACAACCAATGGGAGAATAGAATAAGGATTGATGTGCAGACACGCGCCCAATCACGCACATACAGAAATTAACATAGTGAATTAAGTGTCTAAATTACAGTGAGTAGACAAATAATACAATAGTTGAATGGGCTTACTACAGAGTATTTGAGAGGCTATTAAAGTTTATATCAGACCAATTTCGTTTATAATAAAGAAGTAATATACCCAAACTCGCTGATGAATAGAATCTAGTCATAATATCTTTTTCCTCCTAAATGCAGAAATACACCAGAGAGCCCACTTGACAGATTTATCCAGTGACATCAAGTGTTATGGAAGTTTATACTGAGAACCGGATTCAATATTAATACAAACGAAGGCGATAAACATCACACTTGAAATGAAATCAGGGTCAAATAGTTATGACGCACGTTTTTAAGAGATCACAAGCAAAGTAGCACTTAAATTTGGCCTAAAAAGTATGAAATGTTTATCAAGACTCTTAAGTAGCTACACAGAACATATGAATAACTGAATTATGAGATTACTAAGGTGCCCCAAGAACATCATATAATTTTTCTCGGGGTGCTTAAGGCGTACGTTGGTTGTTTGAGATATCTTGTACTTCTGCACGTGAGTATGTGTCGTCAAAAACCTCCCTATAAAGTTTAAACGTAATCAAACTAATCGTTACCCAAGCAAAAGAAAATAATTACTTCCATCATCAGGTATCAGTGGACTTATAAATCCTAAGTAACCACTGAGCACACAAATTGTCACACCTGTAACTAACCAGATAGTTACATCCCGTGGAATTACACTCCATAACTCCATTGAAATGAGGGACTTCAATCAATTCAAATATAAAATGTTTGATAGAAGAAAACTATTGTTCCTCTTTATTAAAGCCATTTGAAGTGAAAATTGTAAGAGAGAAAAGCTGTAATGCTGAGTAACGATGTGTGCTGCCGAACATGTTTTATTCGAATAACCATAATTTAATTTTCCCACTGGGAATTCCTCATTTTTGATCTTTTATTTGTCATCCCTATTTGTTTAACGGAGCATGTTAGTCCTAATATCAGGCTATGATATCCATCATAACTCTAGTCATCCTTACGAGGCTTCGGATGCAACAAAATCAATCAGTACCAACATCTGGGTCTCCATTATCGAAATGCTCTTATGGCAATTAAAGAATATGAGAACCACCGTGTAAAAATATATATCTGGATTGCTACTAGAAGTGTCACAACGTGTAAATTCTAAGCTGGCTAGTCATGGGAGGCAATAAGTCGCGTGATACAGTGAAGATCATTCTGGCAAACATGCTTGACTGAACGAATTTAGCTGATGGTGTATCCAGTCAAACTTAGCTGGTCAGCATAGATGTTAAATGTTCACGAGCTATGTAGTTAAGGGAGTCATTCAGAGTTACAGTACTACCAACCTTGCATGCTAGTCTACCTAATAGCTACGCGTGCCTGCTGGAAGTAATATGACACAAAGGGGCTATATATTTTCCCCGTTACTTCCCGAATCTCAACAAGCATTTTCGAATTATCTACAACTCTCACTTCTATCGGTGAAAAATCCCTGAAAACATCTTCGCTCACCTAAAATAAGTGATTTTGACATATAAAAACAGGTTTAAGGAAGATGTGATAAGTAAGAGGATGAAGTACTACTCACACTACAGGTTTGACTTTAGATATTGAGAATTGTGTCCTTCAAACCGGGGTACTTCGGTCGTGCGCTACGATGCCGCGCGATATTATAACTTTGCAACTAGGACAATGTGGGAATCAAAGTATGTCTCATTTTACAAATATATTGTCTTTTTCTCCTGTCCTGTTACTTAGTTACGAGTTTTAAATGCATTTTTTGTCGAAACAACCTGGATTTACTGCGACTAAAAATTTTATTTTATAAGTGAGGTTGACGCAACACACACTTACCATATATTGAGATATTCCCCGCCACAAGTAGCTAATCTATTTTGCCGCAACTTGTCTTTGTTTTATGGACCCTCACTGGCTTCAACTGTAATATACTTTTTCCATAGTATACTGAGCAAGTACATATGGTTAACCGGCTTGTTAGCGAAGAATCAAAGCGGGTTATCTTCTTAACGTCTGTCACGTCCTCAAGTGTCCATGTAGCTCCAGTAATCTGTAAGGCTCTTCAAACGGTTTACGTGACTCCAGTTTCTTGATAATGTACTCTAGCATCACTAAACATCTTGTATTACCTCTGATTCCTTCCAAAACATGGATCGAGGATATCCAATCATTAGAACATCTGTGAGAATAATAGTCAGTGTGAGACTCATATCTAACATCGTCGCTTAGGTTTTCGAATAAATGTATGCCCAGTCATTCGCGAAGGTATAATCATGTAAAACAGAAAAAGAAATAAAACTGGAGGTTTCCTTAAACGTCTCTACATTCACATAAATAGCGTCTCTTTAAATGCCTTTTACTGCACTCAAACGTCTTTTGTTTCAATCTGTATTAAGTTAGTGGTTTTACAATCCCGCCGTATACCCTGGTAATATATATTTCAGTTCACATTGTTTTAAAATCACTCCTCCCTATCCCGAAAAGCTTAATCAAGCTATCAAACAATACTACGCCAGGTTTCTGATTTCAACCAAATAGTTGGACAGACGAAACTACTGTCCAATCGAGTGAATATGTTTTCAACAAGTAAGAGTCGTTCATATACCTGGTGTCTAATCAAGGCATCATGATGACACTCAGTAGTTAGCTATTTTGAAGATGCATTGACCATAAGCTGTAAGACTAGTAATTTCATTTGTATCGGCTTTTAAGTGGAATATTTTGTTGTTAAACTATTCATGTTTCTGATTTCCGGATAGTATGACTCAAAATGTCACTATAGATGCACCCAACAAGGTCTATTTTTCTCGTCTATTCGTATGACATTATGGCGAGCTGACACTTCAGAACGTCTCTACCTCCCTAGTCCATAAACTGTACGTTTCGCTTAGTTTTCGGGAGTTACAAAGCTTACTACATCAATCGCAACGCAATAAGTGATGACTTACCCTTATACTACAATCAGTGCTACGGAAAAAATAAGTCTACCTATCTGATATGGGCTGACTTTAACTTAACAGATTAGTCCGCCGCTAATTATAGTTTTTAAACTGGACCGCTGGAATACCCAAGCTCTTTAGTACAAAGTCACTCAATCGTCTGTAAACATCTTATGGTTACGTTTGGTATTATACACCACTTACTTCATAAATTATTGGATTCACGTTACTGAAGTGATACTCAAAAATACTAAGTTAGGTTTCAAAGTCAGTTGATCATAACAATCAATGGTTTATTTAGGAACATGTGTTGCTCTGAATGAAATCTAAATTCAGTCCTTTAATTTTTCATTTGAACCGTAAAGAATTCTCAGATATTTTTAGCTGCAACAAATAAAAATAAACTTCCCAAAATAATTGTTTTAGGAGTGGTATCTGAGGCTTTTAAATGAAATAAGTACTAGAAGGTACAGCGTATCAGCAGGGCGACTTGTTTTACCACATACTTCGTTTATAGGCTGTGGAAATGCAAGTAAAAGTTAAGAATCAAAACTAACAAATTTCACCTGTTAAGCAAGTGCTAAAACATGTTTGATTAACTGTACTGTATATATTAAAATTAGAAAATGCCCATAATTATCACATTACTTACGGAAACTAAAGATATCTGCTTTTGATATAATCTTAGTAGGCATATCTCTTTGTGGGGATTATTACAAGCAGTCTGTGAATTTATTATCTCTCACGTAATATTTACCTGTCCATTTTCTCTGTATCACCAAAATGTTAGTTGGGATGGAGTTTTGGAAGCAGCTGTGCGCTGAACATGGAATCAGTCCTGAAGGTACACTTGAAGAATTCGCAACAAGTGATGCTGATCGCAAAGATGTCTTTTTCTACCAAGTAAGTAAGAAATTTCCACACAATTAGTTTGCATACTTTTCAATCATCCATTGCTTACTTAGTTAATCGGACATTGTTTTAGGTTACATAACTTAAGTCAATTGTTTTCTTCATCTTGTAGTTCAGTGGTTTCCGCTTTCACCAATTTATTCATAGTTTTAATTCCTGTCATAACTAAATAGTTTCAGCAGGTGAGTGGTATCCCTAGGCGATTAATGTATCTTAATCTTTTACGGTAGCGAGTTTATCTATCAATATCTTACCGATACAGACACCAAAATGCACCATTTTTGACAACTATTCACTGATACTTCGGGTAAATGTATACTTCTGTTGATCTTCCAGAAGCATCAATTCTACTTCTGAATGATACTTTCACAAGCTCGAGGCTAAAAAGCGTTTCTCCAGTAGCAAATTAAAACCTCTAGTGTTATCCACAAAGCACTATGAACAAGAAAGTTAGAGGAAAATTATTCTTGTCCTAACTAGATGTTTTAATGAATAGATTTTGTTGTGTAGACAACTCAGATGCGAGTAGTAAAATCCTTATACTTATAGTGTGATGTTCTTATTTCTACACAATCTTCGAGAAAATGACTTCAGTTTTTGTTCAATCACAATTTTTGTTTGTCTCAATTCAGATTTTACCATGTTTCTATAAGCTTTCCCTTGTATTGTAAAATATTTCAGCTGGGTACCCAATGGTTTCAGTTTCCTCAGATATCCCACATTGCTGAGCAAACGTATATTGGCTGGTCATATGTATAACCTTTACAAGGGGTTGTTAGTCTAGTTATGCCAGCCAGTAACCAAACCATTATCGTTTGGAAGTTGCAAAGTAACGAATAACTACTTTACGGGGACTACACAGATATATAATTGACTATAGTAGGAAAAATGATATGTAATTTTGTGTCTAAGATTTTCCACAGAATTAAACCATTTTCATGTTTCTTATAAAGGCAGATGATGCTCATTATATTCCTCGTGCTGTGTTACTGGACTTAGAACCACGTGTAATCAATACAATATTATCTTCACCTTATGCTCGACTTTACAATCCAGAAAATGTATATTTATCTAAACATGGAGGTGGTGCCGGTAATAATTGGGCAGCTGGATACACACAAGGTGAAAAACTGGAGGAAGAAGTGTTTGATATTATTGATCGTGAAGCCGAAGGAAGTGATAGCTTAGAGGTAATAAAGTTTAATTGGAACTAGTTAACCCTTCACTTCGATCATCAAGCTTTTTATCAGTTATTTACTCAGTAGTTTTACAAACCTTTACTCCTTTCCATATGAATTGAAATACTATTTGTTTATTATTTATTTTAACGCATAAATATTGGCACAAGGGGGCACCAAACATATATGCGCCACACAATAACAATGAGGCCGGTAGCAATTATCACTCATTTGTGTGAGGGTTGTGATACTGCCCGGGTGCCCAAACCGAAGCATGTGGTTTTCTTAGGGGGTCACACCAAGAGCCTTTGACCTAGAAGTTTAATCTGCAAGGCAGTGAAGCAGCGTTAGAAGATACAGTCCCGCAGTAGCCGGCGACCAACAATGGGTCACTGGAGCTAATATGTACTATCGGTTTGGAATCAGGGTTTTTCAACTCCCCTAGGTGGACGCTCTATGTCCACTAACCCGGCTAAAGCTCCAGACCTTCGCTCTTCGTCCTCCTAATTTCGTAAACAACACCCCTGCCACGAGAAGGCAGCGAGTAGGACTTCCTTGGCGATGGTTGTATACGTGTGACTATATGAGAGCACTTCTAAAGGGAGAGCTGACTCTCCCCATCCTCGACCGTACCAGGGCATTTTATTGACATGCAGCGTTAACTACACTTACTAAGGGTTTCTGAGAGCACTTTACATTGATTGCTTATTTATTACCCTACATAACTACCTGTCATCAGCCTCCTCTGGCTGCTACCATGCTGCACATGTAGTGGACGAATAAATTAGGTGGGGAAGACGAACTTATTGTTTAATGCAAAATTACAGAGTGCTTTCGTAAAATATGAAACCATACCCTAAATACACAATTTGCACATCTTCCATCAGTTGTCCTTTACACGCTTCGTGATCCTTTCAACTATGTTGTCATTACAATTACTTTCTGTTCTCTTCAATTGAATCCTCTCAATCTTTTGCTGTCATGCATTTCACTTCCGATTAGTGATACATACTACTTATATCTCTCAACATAAGTAGCATACACCACACGCACAACAATTTTTTACCTGCTTGCATGTTTATCATTGGTTAAAATAAAAGTGTACTGACTAAAGTTTCGTGGCAATCAGATCAAGATCTAGCACTATTTCACAATTTTTCTGACTGTCCATTTAAGCTTCGACATCTATCTGCAGTCTGAGAGATACGATGAATCAGTTGTTAGTGACTCTCAAGTGGGATAACTGAAAACCGTTTATAGTAACAGCTTTATTCATCTATTTATCTTTACTTTGTCAACGCATCGTTTTATAACCATTTCATTCTGCTAACTCTTTCTTCCCATAAATCACTTTACCGTTTCTCTTAGATTTCCTCTGTTACAAAGGGTAATACCAAACCTCTTCACTGTCATAAACAGTTTTGTGTTATCTTATCCTTTTGGGGAAGTTCGCGAACACTTCATCCGTTAAATATCCCCGTTACTAAGAGGTAAATGACTCTAGTTTACTCGTCTGCCTCTCAATATTTCAGCACTCTTAAGCTCAAAAATGTGAGATAATGTTGATTTAAATCCCTATCCCGAAGTTAGTAATTTACAGAACCCTGAATTTATCTACGTAGATCCTAGAAGAGTTGCTAAAAGATAGTTATTATTCACGTAACGAACTGGTCAGAGATTTGTAGATAACTTTGTTCGGTATGATATATAATTACACGGTACGTGAAATCCCAACTCCATAGTCAAATGTTTCAATTATACAACCAGTATTATCGTAAAGAGTTCAATATACTATAGTGCAATTATTTTAGACATGTCTCTGGCAAAGTAAATTCTTCATTGAAGAAGTACTGTCACTACTTTGTATTCCTACATACTTTGTTATTAAGCTTAACATTCTGTTATGTGTATTAGTTAAGCATTAGGTCTCTTAATGCCACTATATGTATTTACACTTCCAATGGTAATTAAATTGTTAGTTTATATTCTGTATATATTTTGTACTAATGTACTACCTTTTTCCTAACAAGGGCTTCGTAATGACTCATTCTATCGCTGGAGGAACAGGGTCTGGAATGGGTTCATTTATTCTTGAACGTCTTAATTCACACTTCCCAAAAAAACTTATTCAAACGTATTCAGTATTCCCAAATTTAGAAGAAACTAGTGATGTTGTTGTTCAACCTTATAACAGTTTGTTAACACTAAAACGTCTCACTTTGAATGCTGATTGTGTGGTGAGTCCTCGTATTGTATATAATACTATGTAATGATTTTTGCAGAACTATTATATATTCCGTACCTTTCTCTCACCGAAAAAATGTACCAGTGTCAACCTGGATATTGTCTCTAGTAGTCCAGCTTTACCGTACGATGGATACATCTAACAACAAGTAGTTTGACTTAATTAACCTAAGTAAGAAGATATTTGAACTAAAAACTATGCAAAGTGAAAATAACACCTAAAATTCATTTGTATGTAAACTGGAATCACCACTAACCGGTTTATTTGTCTCCACTTTATTATGTAGTATATTTTGTCTTGTTGAAATCATTTACATATATCTTTGTATTCAACCACAATGTATTTTATAGTTGCAACATCCTTTTCCGTAGATAATAACAACTTTGACATAGTAAAAGTAGTAAGTTTCCTTATTTGAATTAATCCCTTAAAAACGATCTACTAAGCGAATATATTGTATCATTGAAAATATTAGTTAAATGTATTTGAACAGTTACTCTGTTCCTATACTTAAAATATTTCTGTTCCATTCCTATTTTGTCTAATATTGAAAATAAAACTCCCATTATTGTCCTCATATAAATTAATTTGAAAGTATTAAATTATTTAAACATGAAATCGTGTAAAAATAAGAATTATTTTAAGACAAATGGAGTTGAGCATTTCTCTTAGTCATATAACCACCAGGTATGTGTACAATAAATTTATGTAGTTGTAAGTGATTATCAGAAATATCTCTAGCAAAAGTTTATATGCTGTTCAGTTATTCACAAGTATATTCTACTTGTTTAGATGTTGCCAGACTGCTAACGTAAGCGTTGATATGTTATGAAATAATTACTCATTAATATGATATAGAGAAATTATTTAGTCATTACATACGTTTTAATACAAGCTACTGACTACTTTGCATTGTTTAAAAAGCATAAATTATTGAGATCAAGAACATATAGTTCACTGTTGTAGAAATTTATGGTTTCATTTCTTAGTAACGAACTGGTTGGATTATACGTACTACTGATTATCTGTAGAGCAAAATAAAACATGATCTAATCATTCTCTGATCTTCAATAATTTCCTGTTAATATAGACTTGTACTAAACATTGTTTGCAATCTTGTTGTATCCTTTGTTTAACAATACATTATGCATTCATTATTTTGTAAAATACTGTCAATTGGCTGATTTCTAAATTTTAAGTAAACTTATTTTCATCCCCTTCAAAAGAATGATAAGTTATTGACGCTAATTATATCCCATAATTTCTACCATCAATGTTTCACAAGCTTTCACGACAAAAATCCACTAAAGAATGTTATTAATAATTGAAAAATGCCAACACAATTACGTGCGAAAAATACTAATTTTTATCAGTTATTTATTGTTTCATATTGACAAAACGTGAAAACAATCAGTTAATTATTTTGATTTATTGCTAGTCATTTATATTATATATGGTTCACTGATAGTGTTCTGTTTACAGTTATCATACAATGTTATCAATCAGCGGAATGCATTAGCACCTGTAAACCTGTCTTTTTAAATCTTTGTTTTTTAACAGGTTGTTCTAGATAATACTGCTCTGCATCGTATAGCTACTGATCGTTTGCATATTGAGAATCCATCATTTGCACAAATCAATCAGCTGGTAGGTATCATTAACATGAAAATGATCATCTATATATTTGAATTTTTTGTGTCTGTTTGATGTGAACGATGACACTTGCCTTTGTAGGATCTGTGATCATGTTATAACCATTGCAAATTTTTTTCAATGAATCCCAAATTGTAATTAAACTGAATTTTACCCAACACTGTTGCAATTTGGCAAGGAGGACTTATAAAATCTCTTAATGGTTTGTAAACACTTTGGATTTGATACGCTAGAAGTATGTCTTACTTTTAACAGCTTGGTAAAGGGATCACTTTGGGTAGATCTACAGAGAAACCTCGAAATAATATGAATTCATACTATTCTGCATCAATATTTGTTCTTGCTTTATTTAAATTCATAAAGGGAACCAATTGCATGAAGATCTACAGTCATTCACTCAGATTATTCGATTTGTGTCCATATGTCTAATATGTTAGCTAACAGCTTTACTAGTGGTGAAAGTATTTCTTTTACAGCCAGTAAAAACTCATTTTCAACCTGAAAAAGGTTACTTCTCATTTTAGTTGAAGAATATAAGAAAAGTGTACCCAAACGTCCAGCCCACTTCATGTAAATTACTTCGGCTGAAACATGGAAAGACTCAGTGATTTAAACAGTAACTGAACTGTTTACTGGGAGAGTTAAACTAATTCAACCAGAGAGATATGTGGGTTGACACTTTTGGAAATATTAGCTCCTCATAATAATTGTAGTAGTTGTTGTGACAATGTTTCAATAACTGTCCGTTCACTTTCTTTATCATCAAACAAGTCTAACTTGATGATCATCTAGTCTAGTCTACCAATCAAGTCCTATTGACTAAATTACTTTGTAGCTACTGTTTGAACGAGTTATTTAAAGATGCTTGCTTTTTAAATGATCTGGTTTGAATCCAGCTACTTGTTGTTCCGGTTATGTATATCTCTATTCGAAGATCAATTAAGATATAGACGCGACCGACGTTCAAAACTTTTATTATTCCTCCTCACTATATGTGTAAGAAGAGGTAGTTTTTGAAAAGAACTGGATAAGAAATCCTTAGGGCATTGTAGCGATACTGGTGATATAAATCCATTTATGAAAATGTTTTCTATCCCTATTATTTCATCCTGTATATTGTCTTGAAATTTTGTTACGTGAACTGTTTTGTTCAGCTCTATCTTGTTCCAATAAGGTAATTTCCATGTCTCATCATAATTTTCTTTTTGTAAACTAAATTCCATGATATATATTACACAAACTTTTCTTGTTGGTAAAATTATTTCTGAAGAACGAAAGACAATTCAGCAAAGAAAAGTTTCTTCTTGTTGGTATCATTTATTGAGTCTGTATAGTCGTATTTATGGTGATTGAAAAGATGTATTAATCGATTGGAAAAATAGTAAAACCAGTATACCGTGAAGTGTTCAAACATTCCAAGTATCATAAGAAGGTTGCGTAGGAGTCTAAATGCGAGAAATAATTATCCACTTGATAGATATAAAGAACAAATTAGAAATGCGGAGGTAACAACAAGAACAACTGATTACTGATTTTTTTCTCCGAACGTAATAAAAGAGTTTTTAGGGTCATGAAGGAATGCGTAGTTGTATGTGTTGTTTTTACACACAAAGTTCAGACTTGAATTGCTCAAGTCTCTGCAATTCACAAGTTTTTAATTCACGCTCCTTTTAATCCAATTCGTTTAACTGTGCAAATTATTTTTAGAAATAATTTTTGTAAGGGTATGTAAACAGAATTAAAGAGATATCCATATATTGAGACATTGATTATTTTACGTTCTCCTTTGAAAGACGTTCCAGGTAATGTTCTGAGATGCGTTTGGAAAGTGTTCACTAAATGCGGCCAATATAGCCTGTCCCACAAATGCAAGTGAAATTAAAGATGTACATTGATGTGACTCATAGCATAACTTGGTTCTTAACGAAATTTCGAGAAATAGAATGTTTATCCCAAATATTTTGAAATCCGGTTTTCAATATTCCTGCAACAGTATTTTCCATAAGTTCAATGTTCATAGAAAGTCTTCTTTGGTACTGTAGACAATTTCTCAAGTTTCAGCTTTCGCATCCGGTTACTGTCAATAACCATTTTCGACTAGTACTTCACCGAGTTTATTTTTGTGTTATCAATAAGTGATCAGTGCTTCTCTTATCTTTCTACTATGAATTAAGGTCTCCAAAGTAATGTCTGCAAGCACGGCTACACTTCGTTATCCAAGCTATATGAATAATGATTTAATTGGCTTAATAGCTCCACTAACTCCAACTCCACGATTGCATTTCTTAATGACTGGTTATACCCCATTAACAACAGATACTGAAGTTCCAACTATTCGACGGACAACTGTATTCGATGTCATGAGACGTTTATTACAGCCAAAAAATATGATGGTCTCCACTCCAACACAGCGCGGTGTCAGTCATTGTTATGTTTCTATACTAAATATAATCCAAGGTGATTTTCTGTTTAATTATTATTAGTCCGTTATTTACTTTGGTGATTTTAATAGGACAGGAAAGATAAATGTCCCCCCTGTATTTCAAATGACCGAAAGTTTGTTTCTACTTGTTTGTAACCTTCATTTTAGCTCTAGTGGATAATGATCCACCAATGTAGTACGCTTTCTAAAGATTTGTCTTCGTTTATGAGGTTGTGAAACTTGATAGGCAGTAGGGAAAAGCATTAAATAACTTTTTTTCTCACTAAAGGTTTTTTATTACGCCATAGTAGTTTAGTTTGTTTGGCAGGTGTCGAACCTGGGGTAGTTCTCCATCTCAAACAAACTATAGCATATAAACTGGTAAATCCCTGTAGAGTCGTGGGTGTGTCCCCTGCTGATGGACCTCATAACAATGAGGTAGGATTGCAGTCCCCTACTTGGTTTTCAATGGTCTTTCCACATGAGATCAGTTTGTTTTTAAAAAGAGTACATTTAAACTGGACTTAAACTACAAGTGTTCGAAGTTTATTGAACACGTTTTTTTAAAGTTCCAGTCGTGTTCAATAAGATCTCTAAGCCATTTATAAATAAAACCTGATTTTAATTGTAGTGTACTATCCAATATTTCTTACGAATTCAATATGAAGTAGGGCACAGAAATTCAATACTTTAAAAACTAATTTTGTGTTAAATTGAACTACTGTTTCTATTCTATTGTTTCCATCTTTATCTGATAGAAACTTTTGTACAAAATGGAATTCACGACCTCTCTTCTCGGCCAAAATGTTACTTTGTTTAAGTTGTAATGATCAACATGTAAACTATAGCTGTAGCTACATTCTAGGAATTTCTTCAAATATCAATTGTTGGTTAAAAAACTACTTTGTTTAAAAGTAATTAATTGTTTGTATGCCCTCTTAGTTCAGTTTTTACCGCATGTTATAATTAGAATGCTATATGCTTGTATGGTGGCAATTCTATTGAAGACATTCCACATATTTTCCATGGGAAGTCCCCAATATCTATTCCAGATAAAAAAAAAAGTGGTTTTGAATAGTTAGCGAATATTGAATTGTGTAGAACTTACCAAGGACTAAGGATTAAATACTTTGATTACATAATCGATTATTACACTATATAAAAGCACTTATGAGATCGCTCATTCTCTGCACTCTTCACTCCAATCAACTAATCTTTTTCGCCTGGTCAGTTATTTCTCTGTGATCTGTCACCAAATTTTAATGATCGTATGAATGTTTTACAACATTAAATTAAAATGTTAAGTTTCAGTTAATAGACCTCGTACGTTCACTTAGCTGTCATGCAACAATTTAATTACTCTAAATAACTGTTTGTCCCTTTTAAAATAGCTTATCAAAGTGAATTAAACTTTAGAAAATGCTAAATATATAGTTTTGCAAAATGTCGACCCCCCACTCAATCCATTTGTTCTTGATCATGATAATATGTTATGTTACTGACAGTCTGTCTGTAATCAGGTCTTGTCTTTGATATTTATGTCAACTAGTTGTGCCTCCATCTGATTCGTAGTCATCCTTATTCCTGACGGCATATTTCGCGAATCAGCTTTTAACTACCTTGTTTCGTTTTCTTTCAGGAGAAGTCGATCCTACTGAAGTACATAAATCACTACAGAGAATTCGAGAACGCCGTATGGCTCAGTTTATACCTTGGGGTCCAGCTAGCATTCAAGTTGCTCTGTCTAGGCGATCTCCATATGTTCAGACACCACATCGTGTTAGTGGTCTTTTACTTGCAAATCATACAAGCATATCAACTGTAAGTGTTTGCGTGTACTTACCTTTCATTTTGTAGCTCTATATAGTCACGTAAAAATGTCTTTATTCGATTAATACTAACGCACAAACTCTTCTGTTAGTCTCCCTGATTCTCAACAGTTCCCCTACTTATACAAGACTGTTATTAAAACTAACTTCAGACTAAACATTAAACACCAATTTCTATTCTAGCAAGAATCATTTGCTTACTAGTTATTAACTTTGAGGTAGATTTCTAGAATTCAAGTGTATATTGCCAACAAAGAAATTTATGTATTCGTTTAGTCTTCATGTGTTCCAAATATGATAATCATAAATCCTCAACTAAAATAATATCCTCTTTGAACTTGAATAAAACAAGCATTATATTTGGTCATTAGTCAGACAGAGTCGATTATTGACTTATTGTTTAATTCTCTGGTCCTTCAACTGTTCAAGTGCATGTTTAAACCCTGCCTACTTCTATCTGGCCACCAGGGTAGGATCGTAAGCTCTCAAAGTTCATTACAAAATCTGTACTTGATAAATTAGTTACATCAGTCAAATATTAGATGTTCATTCTCTGCTTTCATTGGCAACTAAATAGTTTGAATTTATCCGAAATTCAACATCCTTGTTTATTTGACCAGCAAAAAACATAACCTAGACACTAAATACTTTATTCAAATTTCCCAAAAGAATCTATTTTACCATTGATTTTGACTTTAAATGGTTGTCTAAATTCACATATAATAGATTATTCAAAATTTTTTTCTGTCTGAAATATCAATCCACTAAATACATGTTATAAAAAGTCTACAATACAATAAAATACAATTAACATGTTTAACACTCTACTGGTCCTTTTTAGCAAATGGTTCTTTTACATATTACAAAACTTTGTGAAATACACTGTTCTAATATAAGAAAAAGCATGTTCAAATGAATTTGAAAATTCCAAGTATAGAATATTTTCAATAAAAATATAGATTGTACTAAGTATGACTACCAGTTAAGTAATCCCATTAAACTTCCTTTAGTTTATTTTCCGAAAATGTATGTATAACATGGTTTACGTCACGCGACTGGTCTTAGTTAGACACCTATTGGAAAACAAAAAGTACTGAATAACTATTTCGTCCTAATATGAGACTCAGCAATAAACATCCATGACTCCACTAGATACGAAACTCCAAGACCCTTGGGTCTCGCGAAGAGTGTTCAACCTTTAGACCAGTGAACCAGCATCCAATGGTGGTTTGGATGTCTAGTTTCGATCACTTCTTGATATCGCACAACCATCTTCCAATGTTATTGGCGGGTTACCGCTTTTATTTGCTTGGTTTGTTTTCGTTTTCTATTTATTTAAGTTATCATTTCAATTAAGCAGTCTATTTATCTTCTATCGTTTACAGCTTTTCCTACGTACCTTAGCCCAGTATGATAAATTACGTACTCGTGGTGCTTTTATTGAACAATTCCGTAAGGAAGATGTATTTCGTGATGATCCAGAATTAAAAGAATTTTCTGACAGTAGACAAGTTGTTCATAATTTAATTGAAGAGCATAGTGCAGCAACTCGATCTGATTATATTCATTGGGGTGCTCAACGTGCTGCCGCAGTAGCTGCAACACAAGCAGCGGCCGCGGCAGCCGCCAATTCAAATTCTTGAGTTTCTTATTAGATATTTTTCGAACATTTATGTTTTTTGGTAAAAAACTATTCAGTTACAAAAACTACATTTTGTACTTTTCAAATGTTCGTCTCAAAATTTTTTTGTAAGATTGCCTTTTTTAACAACGTTTAGTTTTTACATGTTTTTTTATTCAAAAAGAACACTTCATTCTGAGCATTTGTAAACATATCAGTATTCACAGGTTGTTGTGAAAACATAAATATCCAGACCTGTTAACAATGCATGAATTAAATTGTTTGATATTTCTACATGCTTTTTCCTTTAAAATAGTAAGCAGCTTCAGTGCTAAGGTTTTTTTTCTTCGATACTGTTTGTGGGATCTACAATTGATTGTGTAGTGTTGAGGGGTGAAATCTTCTTGACACTATACTGTTTTTAGTTGATTAACTTTAATATGGTGTAAATGAATGAAGACTACCTTTGTTAGTGCCCTGAGTTTAGTCGTCTTAGATGTTCACGATCTCTAGAAATGTTTTAAATATCTGAAAATAGGATGAATAGTTATTTTCTATTGCGTATACACAATTGTTACGATTCTACTTAATTCTCCTGTCAGCAAAAACTATGTTGCTGGATTACTGTGTTTAGTGGGACAAAACAATCTCAGTTGTTTAATACAATTAGAAATTCTAACTTTCTTCTCGAAAATATTGATAATTACTTCTGTGTGTTATATCTCATCAATCAAATTATGCTACACTAAAGGAACTGTGTTAATTGGCTCATCTTATTTGTCTATTCCATATGTTTCTACTGGCCACATCAATGCAAAATGAATTTTCAAGATATGATAGCTTATTGTATATCAACTAAAATGAATACGAAAAAATAAAGTTGTGGACGTTAAACTATAAAGAAAACAGATCTGTTCCCCTTAGTTGTTCATATTAGGTTATGTTGTTGGTTCTCTTTAAATCGTTATCATCTTAAATCTGCGAAGGATCAACAGACAGTCGAAAATTCATGTTGATCATAATTAAAATATTGTTTATGACCTGAAAATCAACTTGTAGTGAATAACTTGCCACAAAATACTTGGAGTATTCATGCTATCAATGTATTTATTAGAAGGATGCTAAGCATTTGTACCATACATAGATATAAATTAAATCTCTAGAATACACCATAACTGTTACTCATTTTATATAAAATAATTGTTAATGGTTTGAAGTTGTTGACCCATACGATTTATCACATCAGAATCATTCGTACAATACACACTTATTTTTAGTATTAGTGGGAGACTGGCAAAAGCTTAAGGATCTAAATAGGTGGGATTTTTGTGTAATAGCGAGATACTAGAATGGTAGGTGGAAATATTACGCATAAACTATGTGATTCGAGATGTAAATTCGTGAAATATAAAATACATAATTTGATTTTGAAACCCAAGATTTTAGGAATGACAATAAGTGAACGCGTTTAGGAAGGTTATGAACTGTATTACTTCATGTTTCGAACAATTTACTATGATAATCAAGAGGACCCCAATCAGGTAGTCTGCACCTACCAACTGAATTCAACAGTCAATGGCTTCATGGGCCTATGCCAAGTTCGTCTACATCACTATCTTCCAATCTAGTATTTCATAATATAACCTCTTTCCTATTAAATACAATCATAACTGACGACTCTCTCCGTACCTCTTGATATTATGTTATCGATTCGAGGGTTTGATCAATCCTGCTTTTATTTCTATTCTTTCCTTTTTGTGTATTGCACTATGCTACTTATTAATATTCAGTAACTTATATCAATGTCAATCATTTCTGAACATATCAAATAACTTGTACGTCGTTTTCTGGTCATTCAAAATATCTACATGAGTCTATGACATTTAATCCACCTATTATTATGATTGTATTCTCTTAACAGTTCTAAAAATTGTCTTTATTCCATATATTTTCATTGAATATATGTTCATTTATAACAGTTTCGATTTTCTGATTGCCATCGTTGGTTTGATATATCTCCTGGCTGTTACTTAGCTTACCGAACATTTCTTGTAAATAATTCTTAGATAACTACTACAGAAAACACCTCTTATTTAGCTGTACCTTGACGCTTATAAGCGATCTAAATACCTAGTGAACCAAGGTTTAAAAAATCCACTGGTTTTGAACATTATTGATAATAATGGAGTATTGTAAAGAAATCTCGTGTTTTGGTTTCGGGATTTAATGCATCACTCAGTCGCTTGGTTCGATCCTCGGGCGGATTTAACATGTTAATTATGGTGAATGGTCTTCATGATATTAATTCTTTCCAATTTTCGGTTATGGAGTAATTACAATGGACAATGCTAAATATTTTACCTCATTAACAAACAACCGTGATATTACTTTGCTTTTAATCTCCATAACTATAGCCTTAAACCACTTGAGTAATACTTTTTCTCGTATCAAAATTCTAGTGATTTATTCGCAAAAGTCATTGCTGAGCCATTTATTTGTTAAGTGACAACCGCCAACGAGACTAGATCAATTAAAAAAGAATCAACAGTTGGACAGATTAACCAACCTCAGACTTTATTATGTAACGTTAACGGCAGTCAGTTTATTATTTCTTCATTGGACTTAGAACCAGAACAAATTTTGTTGATTTTTATTCAGAAACTGATTCCTGTGCTATTGGAATTATAGATTTATTTCATTTGGATGTGCTGTTCATATCTCAAGTAAATTCATAATACATGTTATCAAATAATCATATTTGTCACTGCCGGGTGCGAACGCGGCCTCGTGGTGCAGCGGCTAGCACTCTGGACTTTGAATCCAGAGACCCGAGTTCGAGTCTCGGCGAGGCTGTGGTGCTATGGGCACTTTTGAAACTATCACTCTCCGTGTGCATCACTTCGCAACAACCCTTCGATCACGTCGCCCCAATCACACTTCACCATTGCACTCAACACCACTCCTCAATCTGATCGATCAGCTGGTCAGTCAACAGGCTGAACGGCAAACTGTGATTCACAAACTACTATGTCGTCTGTGTTCGACCGATTGCGGTCACACACAAAGCACTCGTATCCCAATTACACATGTACAGGAGGCTACCACATATGCATACAGATTCCTCCTACTCCACACTTCTGCACCTGCATGTGATTACGCATATGTGTAATTGAACCATTGTATTTCACAGACTGTTCCAGTATTAATGCTTGTGTGTGTGACATTGCGTGAGTGAGTGAGTTAGTTAGTGAGCATGTGTGTCTGTTATTGCAGTGTTGGCGTGCACTGTGGGATATTTTGTGTGAGCGAAACGATGTTGTTGATGGCATGTCGTGTCGTTTGTATGTGTGGTGTGAATGTGTGATGTTATGTATGCGGTTAGCATGCATCTACGGTGTGGTGGTGTGGAGGTTGCCACTGGCCTGCGAATCGAGTTCGAGTGACGGAGGAGCTTCGTCCTATCGGGTGTCTTTAAACTACCACTGACCACCACGTGAAACACTTCGAGATGCATTCCCCCGACCACATCACACCACTCACACTCGACCAGTGCACACAGCTACTTCCCAGTCGGCACGTTTGTCGAGCCGTTTCGTCTGACCGGAACAGTGGTCGTGGTGTCTGTGAGACGATCGAATGGCACACCACCTAGACACAGTGTGTCGAGTCAGATTTTGATGTTGTCCTGGATAGCTTGTTGTATTGGATGACATAGATGGACGCTTCACCGATATCAATGTGTCGGTGCGAGTAAGTTCGTGGACGTGTGAGTTGGAGAGAGTGACTGTGTTGGTGAGTGAGTGGGTGGGTGGGTGGTTGAGTGAGTCAGGAAGACAGGAATTCGGTAGGCGACTGAGTTGTTCGTCTGACTGTCGGTCTGCTCCACGCGTGTGCACGTGGATGTGAGGAAGAGTGAGTGATTGAGATTTGTTATGTGTATTTGTGTGTGTAAATGTAGGTGACGACGAATGTGAAGGACGAGATGGAGATGAAGATGGAAGTGACGTGTTGTAGTGCTGATGTTGTTGTTGTAGTTGTGGATCCTGGTAGTGGAATGGATTATTGTGTGAGGAATTGTAGTTGATATATTGTCGGTATGGTGTAGGTATGATTTGAATGTGTGGTGTAGTGTGTGTGGTTGTGTTGCGAACGTGGCCTCATGGTGTAGCGGTTAGCACTCTGGATTTTGGACCCAGCGACCCGAGTCTAGGCGAGGCTGTGGCGTTATAGGCATTTTTGAAATTATCACTCTCCATGTGCATCACTTCGCACTGGACCAACAGTCCAGTTCAGATATCAAAATCAAATTTAAATAACTAAATAAGGTATAAAAATTGGATACAAATGTACTTTTAAGTAAAATGTTATATTTTATTAAAACTGTTTTAGGAATATTCAAGGGTATAATTAATCTCTAGTGAAAGTATATCAGATTACCTATAGATTTTATTGTTTAAACAAATAAAAATTTGATAAGAACAATTTTGCTCGTAATCAGTAATTCAATGATAATTAATCCGTTTTTATTCTAGTAAGTATTATATTACATTACTGTGATGTTTAAATCCTTGAATTCAAACGACTTCTCCTATTTAGTTATCACTACAGATGTTGATTTATCTCACCTTCACCTTTAAAATATTCATCCATATTATTTAACTTACCCAAGTATTAATTTTTTTTCAGTATATAAAAGAGAATGATTCATAAGGTCGGTAGATTAATTCATCAATCAGTTCATCTATTGATTCTCAGTGAAACATCTTATGAAAGTTTCCAATTCTTTCATAAGGTTGATATTTTGTAGATTGTTTGTTTCTGTAAACTGAAATCAGTTGAAGAAAATCATAGGAATTAAGGAGGCACCAAGACCTTTGTTTCGCCCTACTATGGTCCTCTTCAACAGTATTTCAGTTTATGTTAAATATAAAGTTATCTAACAGATAAAAATATATAGACACTGCATTATTTTTAATTGGTGGTATCATCATTTAAGGTAATAACTAGTCTAACATCTAATTTCTTGCACAGTTGAAAGTGAACAGAATTTCTAACACTGATTTTTATTTTGTTTCATATAAAAAAATAGAAGTATATAATATTTGTGACTAAATAAAATAACCCTTGGAATTTAGTATCCATGATTAGCAGAATTATTTTTTAAATAGGAAAATCTATTTCGCGTGGTACTTAAAAAAAAAACTAATAAATAAGCAAATAAACTAAAATTAAGATTTATAATAAAGATTGCCCACCTGGTGACTCTGACCTAAATTTAAAGTAATAACAGCA